TTTATATAGTAGCATTGTTCAGTAGTGCAAATATGAACAGCAATATTGTTTGTTATAATGAATGAAATATTTAATTTCATTAAAAATATAAATATTTTTGCTGCTTAAGAAGTTATTACAACATCCACGTACTAGTTCACAGTTCTATTAGCCATAATTTTGTTCTACTGGGTCCTATGCTTAGGACACCACAAGATAATATAATATAATTAATATAATATAATATAATATAATATAATATGTAATATAAATTAGTTGGCTAGCTGAGTTCTGAGTTCCCAAGTGAACTCAGTGTCCTTTTCCAAGTTCACTCCAAGTACTATCAGAATTCTGTTCTTCACAACTGTAGAACTGAAGTTCCCATTCCTGCTGTTTGTCTTCAAACCAGCAACTGAACAAGTCCTTCTCACATTGGAAGCTCTCTGGCTTCATCTCCTGCCACCAGACATGCGAGTAGATGAGACAGTGCCCGTTAATCTTGTCAGCCTGACTGGTTTAGGACGCTGCTGCAGAGGTGATTGCATCGTGAGGGCATGAGTGTCATAGAGGAATGGGCTCGTAGGGGGTGGGGCCTAAATGGAGGAAGTTGTCATGGGGACTTGAGCTCGGGGAGTGATATCTAACTTCTAGACACTGCTTCTCTGGGTTCTTCCCCTACTCTCTTCTTCCGTAATGCCCCGAGTTGAACAGCTTTATTCTGCCGTACTGTTCTTCCATGATGCTTCTCCTCGGGCCTCTGAAATAGTGAGACAATATAAACCTTTCCGTTTGTAAGTTGCAGGTGTCATTTCCTCAGCAAAGAAAAAGTTGGCAAATACAAAGGCTTACCTAGCTATTTCCATTTTCATAGGTCAACTGTGCCATTTGACGCAACATAATCAGCACAGTGAAATTTTATCACATTTAAGATCCTGTAGATTCAGGCGTGGAGTCTCGCAGCCATTTCTTAAAATTCTATGTATGGTGAAAAAGATGTTAAAACTGTATAACAATCCTGTTGTAATAACTGCTTATGATATAATAGGAATCAAGAAAAACAGGGTGCATAACAATATACAGAACAATCACGATTGTGCAAAAACATCTAAGCTTTGAAAAAACATGGAAATGAATTACAGCATTCCCTCTCCACTGTATTTCCCTTAAATAAAGTTTAAATGTGCACAGATCTCTCTGTGCTCATCTTTTTTTTTCTCTTCTCTCTCTAATGTATATATGTATAACTTTGGGTATTTTATTTCTGAGACCAGCAAATTCAAGTAAAAGAAAGGTGTATTGCTGACTGGGACAGTGCCTTAGGTCAGGATCCCAAAAGCAGACCCCAAGGTGTGTGTTTGAGTACAGCTGGTTGACAGGCAATCCCAGGCAACATTGGTAGGAGAGCAGGGATATGAGGGCAGAGAAGGGAAGAAGGACAATAAAGTGTGCATTATCCAGAAAGTTACTCCTGTGGACAACTGAAACAGCCCTGCTAGAGAACTCTGAAACCAGTAGAACGTAAGCTTAGTTTCCCTTTGAGAAGGAGGTGACAATTAGAACAACTATCCATTCTATTAGTTATCCATTGCTGCAAAAGATGTTATCCCAAACATTTTAGCTAAACGATTATTTATTCCACAGATATTTATTATCTCATCATTTCTGCGAGTCAGGAATTTGGGAGCAGTTTAGCTGGATAGTTTTGGCTCAGAGCCTTTTTTTGGGGGGGGCGGATTGTTGAGAATTGGACCCAGTGCCCTGCACATGTAATACATTCTATCATCAATGAGCTATGCCCTGGCCCCAGCTCAGAATCTTTTGTATTTTTTTTTTTTTTTTGGACCCGGGGATCAAACTCGGGTTCTTGCGCTTGCGAGGCAGGAGAGGAACCACTGAGCTAAATCCCCGGCCCTCAGAATCTTTTTATGAAGTTTTAGTCAAGTTGGAATCATCTAAAGGCTTCACCAGGACGGAAGGATGGATGTCCACGCAGGCTCACTCACATAGCTGCTTTCGAGAGGCCTCGGTTCCTTGTTGCCGGTGCGTCTTTAGGACATATTAGCTGTTTTTCCAAGACAGAGTCAACTGGGGAGGAGGGAAAGGAGGGTGAAGGGAAGGAAGAAAGCAGAAAGGGAGAGGGAGAGGGAGAAAGGGAGGAAAGAGGGGAGAAAGGAGGGGGAAGAGAATGAGTGAATGAGCTAAATGAAAGCACACTGAGGCCATACTCCTAAGTGAAATAAATAGGACACACGTGTAGATACTGAATAGTTTCTCTGGTGTGAGAAACTGAAAGCGTAAATAAGGATCAAAATGTATAATAGATAATGTGAAATAGGAAGAAAAGGTCAAAAGGGGAAGGGGAACTCGGAGCAGTAGGGGAATGGAAAGAGGGTTTTGGGTTTTGATCCAATATGCCAGTCTACATTTTTGGTTGGGAAGTAGAAACCATTCACGTTAAGAGTTATTACTG